AATCTCTGTAGCACGTCTGCAGAGCCGAATAAAAGACGGCGGCGCGCGAAGAGGAGGAGGGGCAGGAGGAAAGGAGGCGGGTGAGGGCCGTTGCTCGCGCGAGGGAAACTTGGGAATTTATTAACTTGTAAGGTACGTTCTTGCGCGTCTGCAACGCAGCCACCCAGAACTCAATAAAATGTACTTTCGTTACTTTCTCGCGGTCTCTTTTTCCTCCCTGTTCTCTTGGCGCACGCTCGTTTATTTGTTGGCCGCGCGATAAAACTCTCTCCCTCCCCCTCCCCTCCCCCTCCCCCCCTCTCTCTCTCTCTCTCTCTCTCTCTCTCTCTCTCTTCCTCTCGGTTCCGTTTCTTTTCCCCAGTGCCTTGACGTCTCGCCCGGCCCTCCCCTCGTCGCTGCTCCCGTCGTCTTTTCATTTAAACTGTCCGCCGGTCGTAAGAAATAATGCTGGAAAAAGTCGCTGCTCGCCTCAGTTACGAGATATCCTCTTTAACGATCGCACTTAACCGCGTCTCTTGACGCTGACGTACGATGTACACAATATTCGCGATTGCAACGGGGAATTAAGCCCGATATAAATGCAGTCCCTTTGCTGTGGGGCTCCAATCGGGAGGGGGGGGGGATACACTACACACCGTATACGTTTCCTCGCGCTTTACGCCGTTCGTGTTACGAGGAACCCTCGTCTTACTCTTCCCTCCCCCGCCCTCCCTCCCTCCCTCCCTCTCTCTCTTTCTTCTCTCTCTGTCTCGAATTCTCAGTCGGAGCGAGAAACTCGTAAAAAATGCAGCCAGTCGGAGAGTGACGATCGAACGTGCAACGACTATCGCGTTTACTCAGCGCATCGTAATCGGCGTCGTGGCGGAGAGCAACGGCTGCAGTGCTGCAGAAGCTCTAGACGCAGCGCACGGTCGTACGCTCGCGGGCTCGCGATTACGTAAGTCCGCGGCCGCGACACACACGAAGGTAAGGTGGCGGTCGGCTCCGCAGGTTTGGCCGCCGCCGCTCCTTCGGATTCTTCCTCTTCTCATTCCTCGCGACGTTAAGAGCGCAGGCGGAGCGTGGTAACGGCGACGCGGGACACGTTGTGTTTTTCGCGATACCGCGCTGGGTATAGGCGAACACACGGCGCGGCGGCACGGTCTATGGTCAACTATAAAGGCCATCTGTTCGCTTTTAGAGTCTCCTTTATATCGGCCCCGGTGACGTCACTCGGAGAGCCGGCGAGATAAACCGAGAGACGGACGCCCACTCGCCACCGTCGTGTAACACCTTGCTCTCCTCTTTGTCTTCGCCCACCGTCGCCCCCTCGTCGCCCTCCGCGTCGCGGTGTTCTCGCGACGGGTCCGTCGAATTCAACGAGCCCGCATTGACTGACGCGCGCGTTATACGGCGGGACTTTAACGAGTGTTCGTCTAATCGCCGTGAGGCGAGTTTCGAGGAAAGGTCTCGCGCGACCGCTCGGTGCTTTTGGCACGGTTATTACCGTGAACGTCATTGTCGTCCGTAAATCATTAGCCGCGCTCGTTTCCACGCGCATACGCACGTCGCGTAGCCGACGTGACGAGCCGCTAGGCGTGTGCTGTTCCGCGGGGGAGGGAGGGTTCGTTAACGACGACGGATCGGAACAGGTCTCCGGTGCTGGGGAAAATCGGCAACCGTCGCGGCTGCGTTCACGGTTCACGCGCTACCGCTCTTCCGCGCCGCGACGCGAACGATTCACGTTGGATCAATCTATACCCAACAGAAAGTCATTTCAGAACAAGCGGAATCATCGAGATTTTAGAGGATTTTACTCTTATACAGGGCGTATAAAAAGTATCGGGACGATGAAATATCACAAGAACCAAGCATTTTAGAAAAAAATGCTTCAAGTAGAAATTCGAGAGTAGAGCTTCAAAAGATCTACTTTGTCTACTGACATTATGAGTTTGACCTTGGGTAGCATCGCTAAGGTCAGGACAAGGGTCACCTTGAGTTTTTTAAATGAGACTCCCTATTTTTTATTGCATATTCTTGTAGCCTTTCTTCAGACCTTTTCAAAGCACTGTAATTTTTTTCACTTTGAGTAAACCGTTTCGAAGTTATCGAGCTTTTGATGGTAAGATGTCCAGCCAACCGAGGCAAGATCAAAGAAGTATCCGGCCAGCCAAGGCAAGATCAAAAAAGTATCCAGCCAGCTAAGGCAAGTTGATCATAAAGGAAAATTAGCAATTGAAAGCGCCATTAATGTATCAAATGCTCAAATTGTTCACCATTCGTTGTTTGACAATGCGCTAATCGATGATAAAACCTGAAACAACATCTTCTTGCAAAAGCGTTTGAGAATAATAATGTTAATCTCTAAAAGAAAAAGTAAAATCTAACGAATAAGCTAGGAAACAAAAAGATTTATCCAATAAACAGAAATTTGTATTAATTAGACAAACAAAATCGATAATTCAATTATAGTAAGAAAAATCATTTATCTTTTCCGTATGAAACAACGCGTATCATGTACAAGTAATGTATTCTACTTCAAGTCAAATTCATTGCAGTTGATTTGAAATGATTCGAAGGTAAATTTTAGTGCTGTTATAAATTTAGTACATTAGTATTACTTTTTTCAATATTACATGTGTCTGAAATACAAGTCACGAAAGTTGCTCCAGCCGCTGGCTGGACATTTTATCATAAAAAGCTCGATAACTTCGAAACGGCTTACTCGAAGCGAAAAAAATTATAGTGCTTTGAAAAGATCTGAAGAAGGGCTACAAAAATATGCAATAAAAAGTAGGAGGTCCTATTTAAAAAATTCAAAGTGACTTTGTCCTAACCTTGGCGATGCTACCCAAGGTCAAACTCATAATATCAGTAAATAGATCTTTTAAAATCCTACAATTTTTATTTGAAACATTTTTTTCTAAAGTGCTTAGTTTTTGTGATATTTCACTATCCCGGTGAACTTTTTATACACCCTGTATATGTACTTACGCTGAAATATGGGTCAGTAAGTCTTTGAGTTGATTTTCTCTAAAAATTCCTGAATTTCATTCATGACGACACAACCGGGAAAAGCAACACAAACTGAATAACGATCTCTCTTCTTTCTTCCTTTGCTCTAGACGTCTATTATTTTTATTTTGATACTTTTTTGGGTATAATTGTAAGTAAAATAGAGAAACGTCAGAACTGCCCGCAGAAATTTTCCTAGATCCTGCTGTCTTCGTGTTTATATGGGCTTTATATGGGAAATCCGTGTGCGAGTCGAAAAATAGGCGCGTTGTTCTGAGGCGACATGTACAGTCGTGGACAGAAAGGTTGTCAGGTTTTTTATAGTGAGTTTCGGAACGTATTCTGTCTTGACGAGAATGAGAACTTCTGCTCTGACATGGCTGCGCAGTCATCGGTTGAAGTATAGAGAAAATATGTCTGTCATTTAAGAAAATATATCAACAATAAATTTGACATATAAAAAGAGGCTCGGGCATCCAATATTGTCGCAAATACGAAGGAAGATAAGAAGAATATAAGCAGAGCATGGTAAGAAATGGTTTTCATCTTTGTTGGTATATGATTTCTCTATTCTTCAATCGATGACTGCGCAGGCGTGTCAGAGCAGAAGCTCTTATTCTCATCAAGACAGAATACGTTCCGAAACTCACTATAAAAAACCTGACAACCTTTCTGTCCACGACTGTACACGATCAGACGCTATAAATATATTCAGGAGCCGATTTGTATATTGTCTCCGCTCCTTGCGGAGTACATTTTGTCGGTTTTATCAAAAAATATCCTTTCTTAGATCTCCCTTGTACAAAAATGTTCTGTGATTTTGACGAGCTTATTGGAGTACATTATAAAGAAACGTGTGTATTTTTGACATCGTCAACGTACTTCTCGCACGTTTAAGGGTTGAAACAACCCCCGGAAGGGAACTTGTTGAAAATCGTGAGCAAGTTTCTTTGAAAATTTGGGACATGTAAAGGAGATATATTTTGGACGAAAGTTCGATGTTTTTTCATAATCGTGCATTTCGACCTCTTCAAGTATCAATTTTCAATATTTGCCCGCTCTACCTAAAATTCGCTAGAATCAAACACTCGCGTTCGTACACTCGCTGATGTTACCTCCGATCGGTGGTGTCACGCTCGTAAATATCAGTCGCGATCGTGCGTGATTTTTCGGCGTTTGGAGGGCGTCATCTTCGTCGTCATCGGGAATTGTTTGCGATCTCTTGTAAGCAAGGCGCAAAGCGAGGTTTCGTAAGGCGGCGTTAACGCCTTCTAGCGAGGATCGATCGAGCCAGCAGCCTGGTCGCACGTTTGGCACAACGCCAGCCAGGCGTCCCGACGCTTTCCGAGATGGTGGACCGAGTCCGGCCGAAGGCAGCGTCCCGGCGTCAGCATCGGCGTCGGCGTCGGGCGTCCGTCAGTGCGCGTGTGACACGGCTGCGAGGCGTTACGGCGACCTAGACGCCCTCCACCTCGCGATGTGAACACACCCGCGACACCACCGTCGCCTACGTCGATCTCGCCACGATCCCCGTACGATCCGCGCGCGACCCCCCCCCGGAGGCAGCAACGGTTTATCGCGGTAGCACGGAAATGAGTCAGAATCGCGAAAGGCCGTCGCGAAAGACTGTAAGCACGTCGAGCCGATCCGCGCAGCTCGTGTGATCACCGTCGTCGTCGTCGTCGTCGTCGTCGTCGTTGTCGTGACCGGCAAGAAGGAAAAAGTCGGAACCGCTCACGTTGCGTCACGACGTAGTCGTGCACCGAAACAGGTGCACCCTGGCGCGGTTGCGCTCAGCCGTCGGTGCTCCCGAGACTTTTGGAAGTCGCCCGCGCGAATCTCGTGTCCTCGAGACCAGCCGACCCGCGGGGTGGTGATCGTCATGCCCATGGGCCTCTGATCGCCGCTCGCCACGGCGATCGCGCGCGTCGCGGCAGGTCGGGACAGCAACAGCGGGACAATGTGAGAGAGGGAGAGGGAGAGAGAGAGAGAGAGAGAGAGAGAAGAGAGAGAGAGAGAGAGAGAGAGAAGAGAGTGCGAGGTGACCCGAGCGAGATGACGAGTCGGACGGGGTCGGTCTCTGAAGCTCATCATCGGCGAGGGCCAAAGGCCGCGAAGCGCGCAACGTATCATTCCCAGACAGACAGATAGACAGATCGACGAAGCTGCATTCCTTGTAACCTCGAGACGGCGCGGAAACAGCGCGGCCGACTGTTTTCTCTCGGAAGATTGTACATAAAGAATCAATGCACGCGCGCGCCATCGAGCGCTGACCGGCCGAGTTGCGCGCGAACTTTGACACGCGTCACATGTCGCGCGCGCGCTCTCACACCTGACACACCTGAGCGAGCCGCAAGAGGAAAGGTGTTAACGCGCGTGTTACGCGTGGACGCGAATCCGCCCGGACCACTTGGAATGCACGAGACTATCTCCCGTTCCTCCTCCGGCGAGTGCCCTCGCGATTCTAAGGCGAGGACCCTCCTCCCTCGGCCTCCCGCAGCCGCGTAACCCACGATCGATGATCCGCGCGGACAGCGCGAGTGACCGAGTGGCTGCGGGCCGCGCGTCGAGACGATCCCGCGACTTCCGTTCCGATTAAGCCGACCGCGCGTCGATCCGGCCGTCGAGCGCGCGCGCGTGCGCGCGCGCGCGCGGCGCTCGCCAAGAGTGCAGCGAACGAGGGCGGGCGGACGGGTGCGCGAGAGGGGGGGAGGGCGGCCGGGGGTGAGTGGGTGCATGTGAATGTGCGCGCACGTGCGTGGCTCTGTGCGAAGTGCATAAACCGACGATGGGATATCGGTGAGATCACGAGGTCACCGCAGAATGCCTGAGCCGAGGGCAAAGCGCTGTAAACACTGTGACGGTACGCCAGGCGACGAGTGTGCGTGTGTGTGTGTGTGTGCGTGCACCTTGCCGCTGTGTGCGTGCGCGTGCGTGCATGTGTGACGAGACTGATTATCACACACATACGCGCACCGTACACGCACGTGTCGATGGCTGCGACTAACATCATCTGCTGGTTGACTAATAAAGAGCGTTGCGTTTTAGCCGATTGTGTGTGCCTTTTCAGATTTAACCCTCCCTCATTAACTTCCTCATCACCTAGACGCCCGTATCCGGGCGCGCGAGGACGGCGAGACACGGTAGTCGCACGTCCCGCTGAACTCGCGCGTGCAGAGTCCACGAGGTGGACGCGGAGATGGTCCACGAGACCAGCGGCGAATGCAGGCAAGCGATGAGTCCCACTTGACTCGCCTCCGAACGCGGCTTCGTCATCGTGAGTCGTGTCGCGTCGCGTCGCGTGCCGATCGTTGTGTGTATCGAAAGCGCGATCTCGCAACGCGTGCGTGCGAGATTCCCGCGTGCTTTTCCCCCGCTGACTCGGAATCGCCGCGCGGAGCGGCTAATGAAGTTCTCCGAGCGGCGCCGCGGCAAATTAATTAGGACGGAGTTGATTAATTCCGCTCGTCTCGCGAGTGAGCGCGATAAGAGCGGAGTCACTCGTCTCGTTGCGGCGGCGGCTCTTTCGCGCGCCTCAGTCGCTTTGAAACCGTTGATGTGCAAACGAGTTGAGTTGCGAGGTGTGACTTTCCGCGAACGCGCGACTTTTCGGCTGTGGGACGAGACTATTTTATTTGTGGATCGTTTATTCCGCCACCGCGCGGCCCAGCCGGACATTTGGACCGCCAGGGCTTGAGGCAGTCCGAGACGAATGCGCAAAGTGCATTCCGGATCGCCTGGCGATCACGTCCAACTGCACATCTCCTCCCTCTCTGCCCTCACCCGGCCTCACTTCGTCGCGTTCTCTTCCTCGGGCTTTTTCTCGCGAACCCTCTGTTTGGCCGTCTTGTTCCTTTCCTCTCGTCGTCACTTCTTTCTCTCTCTCTCTCTCTCTCTCTCTCTCTCTCTCTCTCTCTCGCGAGCGAGCGAGCTGTCTATATCCCGGCATAGTATTTTTACTCTTACGGTTGTTCACCCTCTTATCTGTAGGCTGCGCGACAGTTATCTGACCGGATCAGCCGTCAATTTACGCGTCTTTTGTGCGCGCCGGTTTCCTGCGATCCGCAATGCCCGGTCGAAATATTGCGCGAGAAAGGGAGAGATGGGGAGAGACTCGATCGTCTAGTTTGTTGAAGGAACAGCGGCTATTTTAAAAATCGTATTCAAAAGCAGGATCTCTCTCTCTCTCTCTCTCTCTCTCTCTTTCTCTCTCTCTCTCTCTTTCTGTCTTTCTCTTCCTCGGACACGGGTTTATTTGAATTTCTTTCGCGATTAAATCCCCCTTGTAAACACACCGCGTTCGTGCAAGTATGCTAACGATCACTCCGATTCCCGGTATTGACCTACTTCACTTTGTTCAACAATTTTACGCCGGACGCGATCGCGCCCGATCTTTCTTTACTGCCGCATCTGTCGGTACCTCTATAAACACCGTCGTCGCGCAAAGTACAGGGCCAGACATTGGGCACGGTAAGTGTCGAAATGGCAAAAATTCTCTATCCATTCTTCAGTTTCGCGCGCTCGTGTTCCTTCCTCACATATTCAGCTGTGTTTTCTAGAAAGACAAACTTCCTCCTCTTCTTCGTCCTGTTTCTCGCGGATGACAAATGAAGTGGGCGCGCGTCTATCCGTGGGCTTTATGCGATGTGCTAATTATACATCGCGTTTTACGTGACGAAGTGAATTCGTCTGATCGAACCTGACTCAGAAGGAAAGCTTTCAGCCCACCGCGATGATCCGTCTGAGAAGGGCGGAAATTCCTCTCCCCGTTCTTTCCCTCTCGTTCACGGAAAAGTTCGTTCTTAATAAACGCCCCTTCGTCCGTGCCATCAAACGCTTTCTTCGAGTCGCCGGTCGCGTCGCGGATTCGCTCGGAGATGAAACGAATCAATGCTCGTCGCGCGCGTGAAATCAAACATTCCGCGGTCCGCCAATTTGCGGATCGCGCGTTGATACCGGCTGAAATATTCGGAAGAGCGAGAGAGTTTCTCGCACGTTGTATAACCCCGCGACAATCTCGGCATCCTGAGACACTCGGCGCGCGCGCGCGCGCGCGCGCGTGTGTAAGCGCGCGGGAGTTTCCGTGGATTTATTTAACTTTCGTGCGGAATGCACGAGTCGAAAGTCTTACGTCAGTACCCCATGAGTATTAAAGCAAACGAGAGGAGCCTCGGGGCCCCTTGGCGAATATATAGAAACGATGATGCGATCTCGCGCGCTTGAAAAAAAAGTTGAAGGTTGCGTGCTTGAGCTTTGTCTCATCGCGCGCGCGAGATAATATATCGTCCATTTGCATGCAGCTTCTCTCGTATTTTCAAGAGAAACGGTAAGCGCGACGCGACGCGACGCGACGAGAACGACGAAGTTTTATATTCTCGCTCTGTATCTCACGGGAGCAGGCCTTCTCTTCGTCGTCTTCTTCTTCTTCGCCGTCGTCTTCGTGTTCTTCGCCTTCTCTTCTCTTTCCTCTCCTTCCTTTCTTTTTTATCTTCACGCCGGTTGATCGCGAAGCGTTACATAACGCGAGGCTTATTTCTATACTTCTTTTCACGCGATGATCACCGAGTCCGCGGTCAGTAAGTATAAAATCGTCGGCGCGCGTGGGCGTTGACAATCGCATGACCGCAGGGAGGATCGTTCGCCGAGTGGAGACGATCGATAAATCTCGATCTAAATTTATCTTCCTCACGGGAACGTGTTTCGCGCCGCTCGTAATCGTTCGCGCTGCTTTTTTCGATTTATGGCCGCCGGCTTCCAGCTATACGGTTTTACAGCTTCGCCCTGTTGCGTAAACGCGCGTTATTCCGCGTGCTGTGTAACTCCGCGACGATTATTCATTCGCGCTCTCGGAAAGACAGGTTGCTAGGGAGAGTGAGGGGGGAGGAGAGGGTAGATCTTACAGTGGTGTATATGGTGCGAGATTTTTCGACGATCTCAGCGGTCCATCTCGACGACGACGACGACGACGACGACGACGACGGCATAAAAGTGACTCGTAGATACACGAATGGCTCGTAAACATAGCGGCGAACAGCTGTCGATGGAAAACACAGGTTATATTTAAGCCTGACTACGTTGGATATCCGGTTCGGTCTTGACAATAGGTCGGTCGCAAACGCAAATTCATCCGCGCTCGCCGCAACGGTGCCCGAGCGAGAAACGCCCGAGCGAGAAACGCATGCGTGCGTACGCGCGCGCGCGCGCGTAATCGCAACAGATGTGATTAATTGTTTCCTCTGCAAACGGCTCCCCGGCGAGGCTGGCGCTCGCGCGTGCGGTAGTCAATAGCGAGGCGTGGAAAGAATGCCGCGTACAAATATTATGGGAATAGGTCTGAGAATTTCGGGGCACCGCTCGAGGGGCGGCCGCCGAGTCGCCCACGTCAACGTGCGTAAATTAAATGGCTTTTAAAGAGCAACTCTTTCGAGCGATTCTTCGGCTCTACTGTGTAAACGTTGTAAATCTGGGCGGACCTAGGCGATCGCGAACGCGCGCCAACAGGTGGATCGTACGTCATTTTTGTCCAATTGTCGTCGTCGTCGTCGTCGTCGTCGTCGTCGTCGTCGAGGCCGCGTCGTTTCCGGCGCGCAACCTCTTCCGTCTTCGCGTTCGACGCGCTATTGCGCAAAGCTTGCGGACAATATCGTCTTTCTGCCTCACGAGTCTCAAAGTCTCGTCTCGGGGAGAGATCGCCTCTACGAGGAGTGACTAAAGCCGAGAGTGTCCAGCGCGCGACCTTCGCAGGACTCGCGCGACTGTTGCGGATGAGAATTTGGCAACTCGCGGTTCTCGACGACTCTTTCGATTATTTATCGGCACGGTATGCGCGAAGCGTGGGCGCTCGCCCCTCTCGGCCCCCCTCCCCACCCCACCCCCTTGCCGTTTCCTGGCCGCACTCCAAAGCGCGACACCCTCACACTTATGGATTATTTCTCGCATACGACGACCGAGTGAGTATTATGCATCCACCGCACCGACGACGACGACGACGACGACGGTCTCTTCGAGTGGAAGTCTTACGCGAGCGCCCACGTACGCGCGCGGTTACAGGCTTACGCGTTACGTCGTCGCGGTTACGTGCGTCCTACTCCCGATCGCGCTCCATGGCTCGTGACGTCCGCGAACTTTCGGACTCGCGTTCGACTCGCGATTAACCACGTGAAAACACGCCGTGGAACCGCGTGCGCGAAATGGTATTCCCGACATGGTGACGAGACTACAGCGCGATGTCCTTGGTCGAGTTAGCTGAAAACCGGAGCGATTCGGAATGCGTCGCTGCGGAATCGGGATAAGCCCGATACACGACGTGTTGACGACACGCGGATTGGAACGCTCGCTACGCGCGCGAAAATAATAAAGCGCGAAATCGGCCGAGCTAGAGACCATGCGCGAATGTTAGATTGTATCCTGCAGCTTGGCATTCTAGCCTGTCCGCTTAATAATATTCTCGTCGCGTATATTTCTAGTTGTTCGCGTAACGTTCCGTTATTACTATGACAAATTTGATTCTTAATTCAGAGCGCTATCCGCCTTGGCAAATTGCAGAAGTATTCTCCGTATGAAACGCCGAGCGCGTTTCACTGAGCTCTCGATATTAATAGTCCGTTCGTTCGTTCGTTCGTTCGTTCGTTCGTTCGTTCGTTCGTTCGTTCGACCAAGCCGAGTTTCTGTCTCCTTCATCAGGAGATTCCCCCCCCCCTCCCCGTACTTCGACACGTGCAGATACGCAAGCCTGTTCTCTCTCTCTCTCAGGGTGGAAGATACGCGGCCTTCGAAACGCCGCGTGGCTTGGCCTCGATATAATTCGTCGATTAAGGCGTCGTCATTGATAGATCTCTCGGCGGAGTATTGATCTCCGCGGTC